AAAAAAAAAAAAAAAAAAGTTAAGGGTATTTTTTCTTAGAATAAAGTTTTTTTTTTTAATGTGACATGTGACTTGTGAATGCAGGTTAAGGGTGAATGAAAAAAGAGATTATTATAATTAGTTCTTAAATGGCTTATCTATCCAAAATTATTTTTAAAGGTTTAAACATATCTATAAAAATAATTTTCTTTTGGGGAAAAAATAAAAAGAGATAGAAGTTCGTGGTTGGTGGAAAGGGGTGGGAAGGAAGGAGGGCTAGGAGAGCAAGACCCTGGCCCCAAGTTCACAGATCTCTTAGTTCTTTTTAAAAGTCATGAGTGAAAACCTGCACGTAGGGTTACACCTTAGAGTTAGTAGTTAGTCATGGGAAAGACAGTACCCTGCATCTTTTTTCTTCTGACTATATATCTGTGTAGAAGGAGAGTTACCTCTGGTTATCCTAGAGTCATCATTAACACATTTTATTTACTAAGATAAATATTTTGCCTCAGTATTCATTTGAGGAAAATAATCAAGGAAGATCTTCCATAAGACAGAAATGGCATAGGCTTTCTGGAATGTTTGTTCTAGAGAACAGGTATTTATTATTCATAAATAAGAGATTTATGGTTGTGATGATTTTTTTTTCTTTTTTTTTTTTTTGCAACAGTCTCTCTCTGTGCCCTATGTAGAGTGCCTTGGCAAGTAGCTAGGACTACAGACACCAGCAACCTCCAACTCTTGGGCTCAAGCAATTCTCTTGCCTCAGCCTCCTGAGTAGCTGAACCTACAGGCACCTGCCACAGTGCCCAGCTAGTTTTCTATTTTTAGTAGAGGTAGGGTGCTCTTTGCTCAGGATGGTCTCAACTCTTCAGCTCAGGTGATCCACCTGCTTCAGCCTCTAGAGTACTAGGATTATAGGTCTGAGCCACTGTGTCTGACCAGTGGTGATCATAATTAATGAAATATGCTTTTTCATAAGAGCAGCATCTATTAAATGCTTCTTTGGTGCCAGGAGTTATGCCAAGAACTGTTGTAATTACCTAATTGACCAATCTCAGCAATAGGAGTAGATACTATTTTTACTTTATAGGTAAAGAAATCAAATTTTGAGTTAAAGAGGTTAAGAAAACTTGCCTGAGATTCCAGCCTGACCTCAAACCATCTTCATGAACTTCTTTGTTATGCTTCAGAAATTCACTTGCAGCCTTTTCTCTGTGTCACCAAAACCACCTAATTTTTCAAATAGTAGTTTATGCTAATTGTAATTCTATTCTATATTTCCATATTTATTTCAACATGTATAGCTCTTTTTTTGTTTGTTTGTTTTTTGTTTTTTGAGATAAAGTCTCACTTTGTCACCCTCGGTTGAGTGCTGTGGTATCACAGCTCACAGCAACCTCCAGCTCTTGGGCTAGAGTGATTCTCTTGCCTCAGTCTCCCAAGTTGTTGGGACTACACGTGCCTGCCACAACGCCCAGCTATTTTTGTTACAGTTGCCACTGCTGTTTTAGCTGGCAAGGGCCGGGTTTGAACCCGTCACCCTCGGTATATGGCGCCAGAGCCCTACCCACTGAGCCACAGGCTCTGCCCAACATGTATAGCTCTTAAGTCTTTTAATCAGCAATAATTTGGCATTAGAACTTGGGCTAGTGAAAGGCATTAATGAGGCCACCAATCTTTTTGCAAATTTTGCTCTTTACTAAATGATAGTCTTTTTGTTACGTGGCATGAATACATGGAAATGTTTTATTTATTCTAAACAAACATAGCAGCCACTCACCTGTTAGAGGAATTTCATTTACAGAGCCCATGCCACTCAGTGTTCTGCTGCTTCTTGAGGCCGGGAAAAGCAGCCTTTGCCTGGAAGAACACAAGGGGTTGTAGAATTTTCTAACAAATTTTAGATAAGTAGCATTCTTGTAGATAATTTATTAGTACTAAATCAAAAGAGGAGAGAATGAAGTCAAAGCTGATTTTTAGACACATTTGATATAAAATCATCCAGGCACATTTCATGTATTCCTTCTCCCTCGACCACCCCCTTCTCAGCACGTTCTCCTCTCCTGTCCCACAGAAGCTGCCTCCTGAGCGTGGAGCCTGCCATCAGCACCAAGCACCTCCCTTATCAGAGCTTCCAGCTCTTCGGCTTCGACTTTATGGTGGATGAGGAGCTGAAGGTCTGGCTCATTGAGGTCAACGGCGCCCCTGCTTGTGCTCAGTAAGCGCGAATGCCATTGCGTTTTAACACGCGGGAAGTTAGTTCTGCAGTTGGAAACATGTCTTGGTAAGGTGGGGAGCACCCATTCTTGAAGGGTACAGGCCTCTGTCAGAAAGCATGACACGGTGATAGGAGACCCTGGAGAGATGCCGTCTGGCAAGGGGGCTTTGCTGAGTCATTTTCTTTCCATTTTCCCTCTGTGTTTTGAGCAGTTGGCCCATGCTCCGGTGGATGGTAGGTGTTGCAGGAGTTTCAGACAAAGCTAATAACTGCCAGAGAGACCATCTTGTGTGACAAGTTAAGTGAGCAGGGTGCTGTGAATGGGGAAGAAAGAAGATTAGGGGCTCCTGGTCAGGAAGGAGTCTAAGAGGCATCATAGACTGGAGCTGGGATGCCAGGGAAGAGGGTTCAGATGCACCAAAGGGAGGTGGGGAGAGCCTTCAGAAAGGGGCATGGCACCCACTAGGACCTTGCTCTGTGCACATCTGGGAGATGTACAGAAGAATAAAGATCCCTGAAGACCTGCCTCTAGGGAGTGTCTGCCCTCCTGGGGAGAAGCTTGGCTGGGTGATGTTATGAAAGATGAAGGTGAGAAGGTAAGTCGGACCTTTCTTGAAAGGCCCTAAGTATAACAGAAAGTCATTTGGACTCAATCCTCTTATGCTCTTCATTCTTCTGAAGATCTACTTTCATCATGCCAAGACCCTTTCATGGTTCCCGTCTACCTCTTGGAGAAATTTGAGAATTTCAGGTGACTTTTCAAAGGTTTCGGAGATAGCTTGAGCAAGAGCAAGACCATATCTCTACTAAAAATAGAAAAATAGGCACCTGTAGTCCCAGCTACTCGGGATGCCGATGCAGGAAGATCACTTGAACCCAGGAGTTTGAGGTTGCTGTGAGCTAGGCTGACAGCACTGTAGCCTGGACAACAGAGTGAGATTCTGTCTCAAAAAAACACAAAAGACTTAGGAGAAAGTTCTATACCTGCAAGGACTGTCCTATACACACAAGTTGTTCTTAGGTTAGGAGCTGGGCCTTTGCCCCTGGCCTGATGGCTGTGACAGGTGTGATTCCATCTCATTTGTCAGTCCCTGCAGCTGGCAGTTAGCCAAGTCATGTCCCAGGCCATGGGTTCCCAGTGGGGAACAAAGAAAGACACAGACCCTGCCCTCAGTGGAGAGAGAATGTGGGCAAGACAAGGGACCAGACAGTGATTACAAACTGGGACAGGTGCTTTAATACAGAGCAAAGGATGTTGAAAGGTAACATAACCCAGCAAAAGGCTTCCCACTGGGAAGTGATGCTTGGCACTGAGAGCTGAAGGTGGCATGTGAGTTAGGGAGGCTAAGAGTGGAGGCAGACAGGGCTTTGTCTTGCCTCACCAAATCGACGGTGGTGTGCCCAGTCTCGGCAACCGCTGTCCTTTCTGTCACAGCTCTGTACCACCGTGGTGCTCTGGGCTACACCTTCCCCCCTGTTTACACGGTCACCTTTCTCCCTCTATGCTGCTTATGCACACCCAGCAGATTTTACCAGCTATTAAAATAAAAATTCTCCCTGATGCCACATCCTGCTCCAGTGTTCTGGCCTTTTCCCCACTCCTCTCACAGTCATGTTTCTGGAAAGCAACCTCTGCCCGAGTCATCTTCTCTTCCTCTGTTTCCATCCATGCCCTGGTCCATGGCAGGCTGGCTTCCATCCTGACCACCCCACAGAAGTAGTTCTTAGAAGGTTCCCAACCAAGTCCACATTGCCAAGTCCAGTAGCCCATTTCTGTTCTCACTTTCCCAGAACCGTCAACAGCATTCCAGGCAGCTGACCACCCTGTGCTGAGATGCTGTCCTGTGGTGGCTTCAGGCATGCTTTGTGCTTGCTGAGGGAGGTGTGGGCAAGCTGGGCTCATGTCCTCATCAGGTATCAGGCCCCAGCTCTGGGTGTCGTCTCCTCTCCCTGCTCTATGCTCTCTCTATATGATCTCATTCAACTTCATGATTTTAAAACCACCAGCTTACTTCACAGCCTAGAGAGGCAGTTGAGCAACTGCACTGCCCTCTCTGCCGTGACATCTGGATGTCCAACAAAGTCCCCTACCCACTCCCAGACTTCCCATCTCCATGAGTCCATCACCCTGCCCTCAGAGCATAAGCCCAACTTTAAGAAGTCTTGCCTCCCCAATCACCTTTCCCTCAAGTCCTGTCCAGGGGACTTGAGGAATCAGTCAGATTCCACAACACTGCCCTTCTGCCCTCTGCCCTGCCCTCCATTCCCACTGCTGCTGCCCTGGCACAGGTCATCTTCCACCATGGCTGAGAATTTTACAAAGAGCCTCAGAACTGAGATTTCTACATCTGATAAAATCCATCCTCCCAGAGTAGCCAGTGTGATAAAATAGAAAACAGACACCTGTTCTCCACGCTTACCATCATACCTTGGACAGAAACCAGACTTCTCCCTCCACCTGCAAGGCCACTGCCTGCCTGCCTCTCCACCTTCACCCTGGGCTGCCATTTCCTTGGATTCCTCGTATCTACCTGGAGCCTTTGTGCCTGCTGTCGCCTCTGTGTGGAGTCCCCACCACCATCACCACCATGCTCACTGTGGCTGGTTCCTTCTTTACCAAAATGACATTTCAGAAAACCTTCCCTGAACAATCCCATCTCTGATTTTCTCTAGCCAGAGGCTTAGTAGTTTCCTTTATTGCACTAGTTGCCATCAGATTAACTCATCGAAAGGGGGTGTGAGTGTGTGTGCGATTTCCCTCATCACAGACAGGCGAGATGGCTCTTAGACACTCTTGAAATTGCCTTTCTTCTCTACCAGTCAAAGCAGCAGTTGTCGTCTTGTTCTGCTATAAATTTATTTGTTGAAGGAATGCTTTATCTTCATGCCATGCCTTCTGCACTATTTATATGTACAGCGGCAGCTAGTTTATAAATGTGGTCATAAGAAGAAATTTCTAGGATCCTGGTTAAAAAGAAAAAAAAACAAAACTTAGAGTTTTGGGGGTTTTTTTTGCATGCACCTTGATGAACATCCTCAATGACATTTTTAAAAACAATTTCAGGAAGCTTTATGCAGAACTGTGCCAGGGCATCGTGGACATAGCCATATCCAGTGTCTTCCCACCCCCAGATGTGGAAGCGCCGCAGACCCCACCGGCCTCCTTCATCAAACTGTGATGCCCAGAGCTGCCTTGGAAAAAGCTGAGGGTCCTGCGCCAGGGGCTGGTGAGATGGCCGGATTGTTCATTACCAAGCCAAAGCGAGGGGGAAGAAAGACAACTCAAAAAGATGGGATGGAAGAGAGCATGTGAGCGGACAAGGTGACTCCCCCAAAGCAGGTTGCTAGGGGAGTGGTCCAGGTGGAGCTCTCAACAATGCTGCCGAGACTTTTGAAAACTGAAGCAGATGTCTCTGAAGGATGAGCAAAATATTCTCCTAAAGGGAGACAGCCAGGGGTTTGGTTGTTTTATGTTCTCATCCTTTAAAACAATCTTGGTACTCAAAGGCAGCCTTGTGAGCAGAGAACCCTCCCCTGTCTCTGGGGGCAGTGGGCCTCCAGGACCTCTGGTCTGTGCCCCCACCTGCTATAGCCCTAGTGCCTTAACTCCATACCCGCTGCAGCCCTGCTGTTCTGGGACGTGGAGTGGACGTCAAAGCATCTTGGAGGTCACCCACGTGTTCCCCGCTCATCCTCTCATGACATCCTGCCCCCTAAACTCTGGACAAGCATGCACCAACAGTCCATAGTTTCGTGCTGTGCGCCAGCCTCTTGGCAAAGGCGATTTTCCTCATCACCTTCCTGATGGTGTTTGGTCAGTCGCCCGTCAGGGTTCCTGTAGGTCAGGCCCCAGATAGCAAACTGCTGCTCTAGGTCTGCTCTCTGCATGTTTTAGAAACAAAGTGGCAAGTCTGCTCTGAACCTGTAAGCATCATATAAGCATGAGAGAGAAAAAACATACCTTGCTTTGCTTAAATAGGTTGGGTGTGGTGGGTCTTTGAAAATAAGAGGATTTTCAATTATCTTTGTTTTAACCAGAATTCTAAATGCAGCTTTGCAAATATCCCTTGACTCTTTTTTAGATCTTTGTCAAAAAACCTTTCTAGGAGTCAGGAGAAAGTAGAATTCCACTCTCTATTCCCCACCTTCAGCTGGCCCTGCCCCAGACACAAGTAGCTGCCCCCCCTCCTTTTGTTCTCCTGTGCTCCTTCAGCAGGGGTGGAGGTTTTGTTCCAGGAAGGGTTCTATGCCTACCTGCACCTGCAGGCACCAGGAGACTATGTCCTGCCTAAATGGGAAAGTCTTCTACAGTGGGAGAGAAATGGTTTCAGAGCTCCACGCAGTGTTTTGTGAGTTCTAACAGATATGTGGTGTTACATGTGGTTTCTATGTACTAGATGGGCTAATAAAACTTTACAGGCTTTCCAGGAGGCCACAGTACTAGCAATGGGAAGAACACGATGTCATTTGTGTTCAATGTGAACTGAGTTAACAGGCCTTTCTTCTAATGTCCTGAAAACCACAGCAGACCCATTGAACACTGCACTCCGCCCCAGAACACGGCATGTTCTTTCTTCATGCATATGTGTGCTCCATTATTCATTTCTACTTGGCCTAGAAAACATTTCTGCAGTCAGATGAGACTTTAACAAAACAGAAGAAAATGCAGCACCTTGAACATGATGAGATAGAAGAGCTTACAGTGAGAAAAGGGATAATGATAGGAATTATTTAATAAGTGCACACAGCAAGAGGTGATTGGATGTGAGCATGTTACATTAGGTTAAGTGAAGATGGGCCCAATTGCATTGGCTCTTGTGGGAATTTGGAATTACAAAATAAAATTGCTGGTGGTTACCCAGCATACAAATTATAAAAGTTTGCATGTAGAGCAAAGTAAAAGTCATTGGTAATAGTGAATCCTAGAGGCCCAGTGCAGTGATAGATTAGTACTTGGAAACTTCTGAGAAAGGAATGAGGTCTGATCAGATCCTGAGAAGATGCACACCCATTTAGAAAGGATGGAATACTGGGTCCTTGTCAAGTTAAGTGGGCTGGTAACAGGAAATGAATGAAAGTTTTTGTAATGATGTCATATGCTAATTACACAGATGTGTAATTATCTTTTGGACCCAAATTATAGGGACAGTCAAAAGTTTTCTGGCCTTTCCAGTGACAGAGCTAAGAATTCAGTTGTTAGGAAACCTGTGAATCTTGTTGGATTTTTCTAAGAAATCTAAATCAGTAACATATGTGTGAGGGAAGTAAGACTTTAAAAAAATTAGAAAAAGTTGTATTTCATTCTCATGTGACTTCAAATAAGTATCTATTTTATGCACTTCTTTTTAAAAAAAATTTTAAATTTTTTATTTTTTTATTTCTATTTTTTTAAGAGATGGGGACTTGCTTTGTCACGCAGGCTGGAATGCAGTGACTATTCATAGTTAAGCTCATATCTCACTGCAGCCCTGAGCGCCTGGACTCAAGCAGTCCTCCAACCCCAACCTCCCAAGTAGCTGGAACTATAGGCATGGGCCACTGCATCCAGCTTTACACATTTATTTCTGATTAGGTGGGACTGTTGGCTCAGAGCTCTTCTATACCTTCCATGGTTTCCTTGGCACAGAAGGTCATGCCTGGTTCCTGCCAGGCTTCACGCTTTTAGTATATGTAGGTGCTGCCAGCTGCTGGGGGAGGAAGCATTATTTACTTGGAAATGTCGATTCCAATCTCAGCTCTGTCATTTGACTGCACAGTATGTGTATCAGATGAGCCCCTTAACCTCTCTGTGCCTTAGTTTCTTAGCTTATGAAAGAGATTGTTGTCTGACCCAGGGACTACCTCAAGGGCTTTTAGTGAGGACAAATGAGAGCGAGAAGACTCAAGAGCCTTTAATACCAAGGTTCTCAATGCCGACTACATGCTGGAATCACTTGTGAAGCTTTGAAAAATGTTGGTGCCCACACTTCCCCACTTCCTCCACCACTGGCCAGTTAAATCAGAACCTCAGACAGCAATATGTCTTAAGATGCCTTGAACCACTGCTTGAGAAGGAAGGAAGACAGTATTACCTTGGAAGAATTGCATAAGGCTTATGGCTTTTAAACCATCCTTTCTGTTAACACAGTCATCTCTTTATAAATGACCAGATGTTGGTATACGTATTCATGGAATGAGCAAGTGTGATCTAAGCAGATTCTCTGTTTGCTTCTCATCGCAGTATCTGGTGACTCAGAGACGTCCTTTCATTTACATAAATAATTTATGAAATGTTCACAGCAAGGGTAAATGGACATGAAATTTTAAATCTGCTAAATGTGTGTTAAATCTATTAATTAATTATTGAGAGAAAAGCCCCTTCCCTCACACATAGTTCCTACCATAATTATAAATCTGTTTTACCAAGGACATTTAAGTGCCTCAGTGCCGTATGATTTACGGGGAGCAGGTGCTGGCATACTTCTCAGCTGACGTGATGTTTCACTAGCTCTGCAGGATGGTTATTACATATGTGGAATATCTGGGACTGCTGGGGATGACTGGGATGGACAGAACCAGCATGTGGCAGTGATGCTACAAAGCACGTTTCATTACAGTAAGGATTGTGTCAAGTAGAGGGAATAATCCAGACCTGTGGGTATGGTGAGGGACTCTCCTAAAGACAGGGCAGCAGAGTGGGTTCTGTGTAGCATGTGGGTACTGTAGAGAAAATTCAATGATATACATGTCTCTGATCCTGGATACAGAGTCTGTACTGAAGAGGAAATGACTTCTGAAATAAGACTATTTTATGAATGTTTAATATGCCTGGAGCATTAAAGTAAAGGAATGATACTTCAAGTGTCTTCGTCCCCTTTGGTTCTATCATCTTGTGGGTTTTGACTGTCCTGGAATATCACTGGTGGTTTAAATCCATGATCTCATTCCCCAAGGGTAGGGAGACTATTTCCTGTAAAGAGCCAGATAGTAAATCCGCTAGGCTTTACTAGCCACATAGGGTCTCTCTCGTATATTCTTTGTCTTTGCCCCTAACTCTTTAAAAATGCTAAAATTATTCTGAGCTTATAGGCCATTCAATAGTAGGCCAGATGGTGTCATAGTTTGTTGACCCCAGGCTGTTACCCAATACATAAACCAATAGATTGTACTTCAAACCTAATGAGCTGCTCTGGTATGAAGCATTGAGACAGTTTCAGCTGCTGAAATCCAATCCATCATTTCTCAGGTCTTGTGCCTTGTCTGCATCATGACGCAAATTGTGAAGTATGACCCGTGGTGTGAAGGAAAGTTATGTGTGCATCAAATAGGGGGCAGAGGTAGAGGGACTTCCGCAAACAACCAGAAGGCCAAGAAGTTCTTACTAAGTATTTGACCAAGGCCAGGTCTATAAAAACCTATAAAATTCATACACCTTATGCACTTACAAGTAGAAAGGGCTTGATTTATGCCAACTGCCGTTAACTTACAACTTCCTGTGCAATAAAGCTGAAGGCTTTGGGCTTCTTTCCCATGTATGTCTGGCCTGCCTCTTTGTGGCTATTTCTAGTCCGTAAATATACTGCTGGCACAGAAGAAAGTCCTTCCATGCCAGAAACCCTGGCATAGGCATCCCACACCAAAAAGTTTCAATGCAACATGATGCACTCCCACTAGACTTAGAGGAGATTGCACAGACAGAGTGCAGGGACAAGCAGGCATGGGCCCAGTGAGGCAGGGATTAGGAGCCCGGGCAGGTACAAAGTTTCTGGAGGGCTTCATTTAGAGTCTGGTCCAGTTTGCTATCAGCAGCTATTTCTTTTCCTTAAAGAATCTGAAGTTCTGGCGTGGCACCCGTAGCTCAGTGAGTAGGGCACCAGCCACATAACACCGAGGCTGGTGGGTTCGAACGTGGCCCAGTCCAGGTAAACAACAATGGCAACTGCAACAAAAAATAGCTGGGTGTTGTGGTGGGCACATATAGTCCCTGCTACTCAGGAGACTGAGGCAAGAGAATTGCTTAAGCCCAAGAGCTGGAGGTTGCTGTGAGCTGTGTGACACCATGGCACTCTACTGAAGGTGACAAAGTGAGACTCTGTCTCTAAAAAAAAAAAAAGAAAGCATGAGATTAGTAAAGTATCTCAAGAATGGAAGAAAAATTATCCAAGGTACTCAGTACTTTTATGAAACCAATTTATAATCACTCACACTTTCATATGAAAGATAAATCACGATAGCCCAGGATATAGTAGGGAAGAGGAGGGGGATGGGAGGGGATGGAGGAGGTTTGATGGAGAGAGGGTAAACAGTGGGACCACACCTATGGAGCTTATTGCAAGGATACATGTCATATCTACTAAGTATAGAATATAAATGTCTTAACACAATAATTAAGTAAATGAAGTTAAGCCTATATTAACTAATTGGATCTAAGCATTCCAAATTGTACATAAAATCAGCACATTGTACCCTATAAATGCATTAATGTATACATGATCTGTATGTATATGACTTAATAAAAAAATATTAAAAAGATAATTCAAAATATTTAAAAAAATCTCTCAAGTACAGCCATTTAATAACTTGGGTCATGATTATATGAATTATTTTAGTCCAAATTAATAAAAGGAATAAAGACACAATAAAAAAATAAATAAAAATGCATGAGAGGTGGCCTCCCAGAGTGCTAGGATTACAGGTGTGAGCCACTGCACCCAGACTACACATTAAATTTTGACCTACTCTGGGAGGCCAAGGCAGGTAGATTGCCTGAGCTCATGAGTTCGAGACCAGCCTGAGCAAGAGCAAGACACTTTCTTAAAAAAATAGCCAAGCATTGTGGCGGGCACTTGTAATCCTAGTACTTGGGAGGCTGAGGCAAGGGGATCACTTGAGCCCAAGAGTTTGAGGTTGTTGTGAGCTATGAAGCCACACATTCTACTAAGGGCAACAAAGTGAGACTCAAAAAAAAAAAAAACAAAAACATGCGAGGATGTCAGTGGTAACAGCTGAGTACAAATCTGAAAAGCCTCTCACATAAAATCAATGAGAACACTTGCAAAACTGGAAATGAACCAGGCCACTATTAATATTCTCATACCAAAATCATGGCTCAGCGCCCATAGCTCAGCGGTTAGGGCACAGGCACATACACTGAAGCTGGTGAGTTTGAACCCGGCCGGGGCCTGCTAAACAACAGTGACAGCTGCAATCAAAAAATAGCTGGGCGTTGTGTGGGTGCCTGTAGTCCCAGCTACTTGGGAGGCTAAGGCAAGAGAATTGCCTTAGCCAAAAGTTGGAGGTTGCTGTGAACTGTGATGCCACAGCACTCTACCAAGCGCAACATAGTAAGACTCTGTCTCAAAAAAAAAAAATAAAGAAAGAAAGAAAGAAAAAATTGTGAGGAAATGCACTGTTAAAGTTGTAAGATGCTTAGACCCCAGTAATATTTCAAAGTTCTCCTCTTTTAAGGAGAACCATAACCTTCAACTTAACAGAACGACTTCACACAACACTTCAAAAGGAAAATATATATTATTCAGTTGCTTTGGATGAATGAACTGATACTACTGACTTTGTGAAGGTTTTATATGTCATTCTTGTCATAACAGAAGATTTTCTTTGCTACAAAGCATTACTCACTTTGGGTGCTTTTGTGAACAGAACATGAGGAATAAATATCTTCAATAGATTCCAAGATATATGTTGTGAAGTTGGCCTGAATCTGGTAAACATCGTGAGTATATGTACAGAAAACATGAAGGGTTTACTGCACAGATCCTAAATTACAATCCTAAAATTAACAGGGTGGCACCTGTGGCTCAAAGGAGTAGGGCGGCTGCCCCATATAGTGGAGGTGGTGGGCTCAAACCCGGCCCTGGCCAAAAACTGCAAAAAAAAAAAAAAAAAAAAAAGTATTAACAGGTCCACATGCTCTCATTTTTTTCATTGTATCTTTCATCAGCAAAATCTCTGCCTAAAGTTACTATTTAAAGTGACATTTTGCAACAAGTTATTGTTAAGTATGTTTGTGCAAATGCAACATGACTTCCTCAGTTTGTCAGTTTAATAACAAGCTAAGGTTGAAAGATGAGGTATTTGGTGTGGATGTTCCATATCATTCTAAAGTGCATTAGCTATTGGAGGGATAGATGATAGCCAAAATTTTATCTGTGCAAGAACAGGTAGTTAAATTTTATGAAGAACAGTATCAGCAATGTGAATTATTGAAAGATTTCTGTAGG